TAAAAATGTCATTTCAGTCAGTCATTTCCATCACAGAATGCTATTAAGCATAATATATCAATTGAGAATTAGTCGTTACTTTGAGAAAGAAAGAAAAAAATAATGTGAAAAGTGTTTTAAGATATTTATTTTCTACATAGACGTCTTAAAGACACAGCAAATGAGAAAATGGTAATGAAAGAAAATAGCTTTCTTGTTCAAAAAAACAACTAGGGAATGACATGACAGTCTATGATATGGCCCCTTTAATAATTATATCAATTGAAAAAGGTGCAGCACTCACTCTTGAAGAAATGAAAACTTTATTGATTAAAATGATGTTTCGGCCGTTATCAAGGTCTTCATCAGACATCAAGAACAGCAGTACCAAACAATGCTTTAAACTTTCTTGTAATCAGCATGCGAAACGTCATTTTAATCAATAAAGTTTTCATCTCTTCAAGAGTGAGTGCTGCACCTTTTTCAATTGATATGGCTTTTTGATTTTTGGTAGCACCTCCTCTCAGTAATTTTTGTATACTCTTTAATAATCCGAAATCTTTTCCTGAAAAGATGCTAATTGGTGCGCTCTTCTACTTGTTGTTATAGGGCGATAAGGAGTCAGAGCTTGGGCTTCCTTTTTCTCCTTTATGTGACCGCAAGTCTACCATGGTGGCCCAGTCTCAGATCGGTAAGTGATCAATCTTGTGTGTGAATCAATAGTATACCATCTGTGTGTTATGATGCTCATTTCACTTCCCTAACAGGTTTCATTGATTTCATCGTGGAGCCCACATTTACTGTGCTGACAGACATGATTGAGAAAGTCGTGACTCCGCTGATCGAAGAAACCTCACCCTCCGGCCTGGCTGGATTCAGGCGGTCCAGGTGAGGACAAATGAATGGGCAAATGGATTTAATAGCACTGGTCTATTAAAATATTAAAGCTCCATGTTCATAGAACTGACCTAAGATTTTTTGTAACACAAAATCTTTTAATTTTGTAATTCAAATGAATACAGCAAATCAGCATATTAGAATGATTTCTAAAGGATCATGTCTATGGCAAGCCGTTTTGACTTTTATTCATTCTCAGGATATGA